TCGAGCCCACCTTGACCGCCGCGCGGGAGGCATGGTTGCTAGCTAGTTTCCTGTGTACGATGGGCCGCGCGCGATGCGCTTGCGGTCGGATATGCGGATGCGTAAACCACTGTCGAAGCCAAAATTCACCGACTGCCCTGGTTAGCTTGACCCCGGGCTTCTGCCCCGGAGCTCGCGCGGGCAGCAGCGATGCTGCGCAGAGCAATTTGCCGCCAGCGCTGCAGACCGTGGCAAGCCCGCGGCGGCGCTGCTGCAGCCTCTGCCCGCGCGCGCCGTGGACCTCCTGGACGCGCGCGCCCGCTGCCTGCGCCCCCGTCCGCTCCAGCTCGGCCGTCGCGCGGCGCATCTCGGCGGCGCGCGCGAAGCGGGCGACCTTCGCGCGGGGCTTCTTCCGCTGGGTCCCACGCTCGGCCCTCGCCTCGCGCCCGGCCGCGCGGTCGCGTCGCCTCAGCCGCCTCGCGACCTCCGCGGCGTCACCGCGGTGGCTGCATGTCACGTGTGGCTTCGCGGCAATCTTCGCCCTGTCCTTGATGGGCGTCTGCCGCGCTACCCGAACAAGTGGGCAGTCGTAAACTATCGACGCGCGTGATCCAGCAGCGCTCTGCGATAAATCATCCGCCCGCATGCGATGAGACGCGCGCTGGCGTGATGCTCTAATCTTGGCCAGGATAAAATGGGCCGTGCACTTGGCAAGCCGCAGGCTGGAGGAAATCCCGACCCCAGAGAAGCATTCGCAATGGAATCCTACGGGCCGCGCCCGACCAAAGCGCCAGCCGCCTCCTCCTGCGGCGCCCCGTGGAACGTCTCCGTGCGAGACGCGCCCCCTGCGATCGCCGCGCCCCGCTCGGACTCGACCGAACTGCACCGATGCCGAACGCGCCCTTCTCTGATCAACGCCTGCAGCCCGCCGGAGAAAGACGCCAGGCCGATGGCTCGGTCGCCGACCAGCTTCTGAGGCAGAACCTTGCCGATGATGAGCTGCGTCTGGTGCGGCAAGGCCAGGGAATGCTCGACCGCGTTCTGCTAGCGCGCCCCGCGGTAGCATCTCCACGTCGATCGGCGTCGCCCAATCGGCACCGAGGCTCGCGGCGGCCTTCATAGCGCGAGTCGCGCGGCGGACCTCGTCAGCCGAGATGGGGGCCAACGATTCCTGCTCCGCCGCCCGCCTCGCCGCCTCGCAGGCCCTCCGCGTGCGATCCCCGTCGGCGGGGCGCGGGGCCCACGACCCCTGCCTTTGCGTCCGCGATATCCCCGGGGTGGATGACCACCTGGGAGTCCACTGTCAGCTCTAGCGTCGGCAGCGGCTCTCGTCCTGCGATGCAGCCGTCCTTGCGCCGACTGCTGCACCGCCCGCTCCTGGAACTCTGCCATCGATTCGCACGCAGCCCGCCGTTGACCACGCCGAGCCAGACGCCCAGCCTGGTCGCGGAAGGACTCGAGGACGGGCTCTACCAAACGATCAAGGTCGAGCAGCACTGTGGCCCACTTCTTGTCGCTCGCGCCCCGTCCTGGACGGAGAATCCGATGCACGCCAAGCGGCTGCGCCTGCCGACATATGCGCTGGCTCCTGTTTGCCAATTGTCCCGCTGTTGATGGTTGAGCTTCTGCGCCAACAGCGTGGCGACCCGCTTCCGCCGGCACGCTATCTGATCCCTCTGGGGCGCCTGGCGTGCCTTGGCGCAGTGGCGGACCCCCTCGACCACGAACTTTCAGCCTGCGCCTCGACTGGGGCCAACTCGCTTGTCGACGCCGTGGTGAACGAGGATGGTTTTCTCAACGCCACGCACCCGAGACGAATACCATGAACTATGGAAAGGTACACACTGGGGGTTGAGCCAAAACCCTACAGAGGCACGAAACAAGGGATGCATTACGTCTTCTCCACACTCACAAAAGGGAGTGGAATGGATGGCCTATTGGCTCGCCGACATTCCTGGGAAATAAGAAACTCTGGAGGAGAGGAGGAGGAGGGGGAGGAGGGGGAGGAGGAGGAGGAGGAGGAGGAGGAGGAGGAGGGGGAGGAGGAGGAGGAGGAGGAGGAGGAGGAGGAGGAGGAGGGGGGCAGGAGGAGAAGGAGGAGGAAAAGGAGGAGGAAGAGGAGGAAAAGGGCGAGGGGGAAAACGGGGAGGAGGAGGAGGCGGAATAGGGGGAGGAGGAAGGGATACGAATTGTTTTACATCGACGTCGGGGACGAAACACAAGCCAACGGAATAGACAAGTGCCTTGGCACAAAAATGTCGACATATCTACCGATCGAAGAATGCCCGTCGCAGGAAGCTGAAGTGATTCCTTATCTCGCATGCGCGCATGCGCACGCACGGTGCTCAAGTGGGCGGCCGAAAAGCGGTGCGTGGCTGCAGGAAATTGTAAGACAAGGCATATTGTGCGGAAGAGCTCATGCTAAACTACTCCACAAGCTGAAGCTGTCGTGCTGTCCAATCAGAAATCATGGGTGGACAAACCAAGCAGGTTGCCCACGTGATCTCTAACCAATACAGCATAAATGTGCCGATGCATGTTGGAGTGCGTACTTCGGCCAGGAGCGTGTCGTAGTAGTGGTCGTGCCGATTCATAATATCATTGTATGCAGCTTTCAGGCGTGAGCAGCTGTGCGTGATTGATCCCATATCGGGGCACGATGGTGTGAGCTTCGTGGCAATGTCGTAAGCATCGAAAATCGTATCGCACTGCGTGGGTCGTGTCCAGATGGCGTCGGCGACGTCCTGTGGGAGCTTGCAAGTAATGGCCAAATTCACCTCGTGCTCCAGGAGCGGAAAAGCCCGCGCAAGCTTGGGAAGCGACGTTTCCTCTCCCTGTTCCTCCTCGAAAGACGTCTCAGGGTAGCATTCCACAGCAGGTGTGGAGGGGATGCGCATGTTCTTCGCCTCGGCGTCAAGAGCCACCGTGTCCTCAGATATCAAATTTATTGTGGGCTGTAACGCCGAAATAAACTCCGCGGACTTCACCTTCATGTCAGTGTCCGCGCCCGGTCTGGAAACATCGGAGTACTTGCCGAGTCGCCAACGGCCGGCTCGTAAGGCACGGGCTCGATGCTCTTTGGCATCGCGTCATACTTGGGCTGAACGGTGTGAGGACCAGAAGAAAAACCCACTACAGCGCCCAGATGGAAAAATAATCCCGGCAAAGCGACCTAACAGCGATGTGTAGAAGCATACCTGGAAGCATTCCCCTTAAGATTTAGGTGAGAATCCAATAGAATTCTGCTGTTCTCGCAGTCGCAGCCTCAGCCTGCCTCGGCTTGCCTCGGCCTCAGCCTCAGCCTGCCTGGGCCTCAGCCTCAGCCTCAGCCTGCCTCAGCCTCAGCCTCAGCCTGCCTCAGCCTCAGCCTGCCTCAGCCTCAGCCTGCCTCAGCCGCAGCTTGCCTCAGCCTCAGCCACAGCCTCAGCCTCAGCCTGCCTCGGCCTCAGCCTCAGCCTCAGCCTGCCTCGGCTTGCCCTCGGCCTCTCAGCCTGCCTCGGCCTCAGCCTCAGCCTCAGCCTGCCTGCAGCCTCAGCCTCAGCCTCAGCCTCAGCCTCAGCCTCAGCCTCAGCCTCAGCCTCAGCCTGCCTCGCTCAGCCGCAGCCTCAGCCTCAGCCTGCCTCAGCCTCAGCCTCAGCAGCCTCAGCCTCAGCCTGCCTCAGCTTCAGCCTCAGCCTCAGCCTGCCTCGGCTTGCCTCAGCCTCAGCCTCAGCCTCAGCCTCAGCCTCGGCCTCAGCCTCAGCTCAGCCTGCCTCAGCCTCAGCCTGCATCCGCCTCAGCCTCAGCCAGCCTCAGCCTCAGCCGCAGCTTGCCTCAGCCTCAGCCACAGCCTCAGCCTCAGCCTGCCTCAGCCTCAGCCTCAACCTCAGCCTGCCTCGGCTTGCCTCAGCCTCAGCCTGCCTCAGCCTCAGCCTCAGCCTGCCTCAGCCTCAGCCTGCCTCAGGCTCAGCCTCAGCCTCAGCCTGCCTCAGCCTCAGCCTGCCTCAGCCTCAGCCTCAGCAGCCTCAGCCTGGGCTCAGTCTCAGCCTGCCTCAGCCTCAGCCTGCCTCAGCCTCAGCCTCACAGTTGGCTCCGGGCAATCAAAATGTGGCCCGGGAATGGTGCTCTGGGAACACGAAGAACACGAAGTGGCCTACAGTTGGTTCCGGGCGTTCAAAATGTGGCCCGGGAATGGTGTCCTGGGAACACGAAGACCACGAAGTGGCCTACGGTTGGCTCCGGGTATCCAAAATGTGGCCCGGGAATGGAGTTCTGGGAACTCGAAGACCACGAAGTGGCCTACAGTTGGCTCCGGGCATCCAAAATGTACGCCGGGAATGGAGTTCTGGGAACTCGGAGACCACGAAGTGGCCTACAGTTGGCTCCGGGCATCCAGAATGTACGCCGGGAATGGAGAACTAGCAGCGCCAAAAGCGATTTTGCGAGGATGTCCAAAGCGATTTGGGCTTCGACGGCAGCCGCCCCGGGTCCCGCCCCGACCCCCCTGAGGAGTCATGATGCTCTCTTTTGACCCTACTAGAAACCTATCAGTCTTCGCTGTTAGGTAGCTGTGCTTTTGTTTCGATATCTGTTCGCTTGCGCCCGCGAGCGCCTCTCGCCAGTAGGCGGGGCGCCACTGTGTTACTCGTCGGGTCGTTCACGGTCTCCAGCGAGCGGCCCATGTCTCCGCATCATCTTGGCCGCCTGCGAGCACGGCAGCGCGCGCGCTGCGGCCATGACTGCCCCCCGTCTCCTCGGAGACAAGGGCAGCGGGGGTGGCGCCAAAGTGCTCTGCGCTTTCCCTGGATGAAGCAAATGGGGTACTTGATGGGGGTACGAGGAAATTGAAGACGAGGATGAACATATAGGCGGATGAGGGGGATGAGGATGAGGATGAGGAAGAGGATGATGATGATGAGGAGGAGGAGGAGGAAGAGGGGGAGGAGGGGGAGGACGACGAGGATGGAGAAGGCGATGGCAACGACGAGGAAACTGCGACGACGTGGCGGCGCTGGGGAAGACCTGCGGAGGTGGCGCTGCTC